AAGTTATGGCTTCGTTTGGGTCTCTCACAACCCCAGATCTCGGAACGTAAGTCTATCTCCTCCTCCTTCATCAATATTCTTTCTTTTATTTAATATTAGAAAGGGAAAATAGTAATAATAGATAGTGTTTTTTATTTAAAAAATAGCATAAAATATATATTTAATCTTTTAATTTTATACAATATTTTATTTTAATCCCTTAACTTTATAAAGTATTTCTTCAATTCTTTAACTCTGACAGTGTTAGTTTGATACTAGCAAATTTTTATATTAAACCTTCAGATATTGATAAAACATTATCAAATATTAACATATTAAGTTTAATTTTTTAAAAATAATAATTATTGATATAAAAAATAATTATTTGAAACTAATAATGTTAGGATTAAAGGATTAAAAAATATTTTATAAAAAAAAAAATTAAATTAAAATTTTATATATGGTTGCTAGCACATCTTTTGGCTCTTTGGTTAGTGTACCACGTATCTAACCAAAAGGCTAGAGGTTCAAACTCGCAATAAAAAAAATCTATATATAATTAAAAGATTAAAAGTATATTTTAGTTTTTAAAAATAATTAAATTTTTAACTTCCTAATAATGTTTTGAAACTAACTAGTGAGTTTTCTTAACAAATACCCCTTCTGTTTTTATTTCTTAGAAAAACTATCACTTTAAGTTTATTTTTTATATAAGTAAAATTACATTTTTCAATAGACATTTATTATAAACTTCATAAATTATCCCTTATAATTTTATCATTCATAGTCATAAAAAATAATAATAAAGGCTTGATTAACATAATTAATAAAGAATATTGTAGTTTAATTTTTTTATTTTTAAACACAATTAATATAGTTAACCAATTTTCTTAAATTATGTGATACATTTTTTTTTTGTATAAATAGAAATGGAGGGAGTACATAAATTAATATATTCCCTTTCAATTTAACAAAGAATTAGTACTCCCTCCGTCCCATATTATGAGACACTTGAAAAATATTTGAGATTTTAAAATATAAAACACTTTAAAAAGATTAATTTTTTATTAAATAATCTTATTTTAGTATTACATTTTCTCTTTGTATTTAATTATTGTACTTATCTCTTTTCAATATATCAAATGAAAAATATTTTTAAAAGTTTATATATTTTTTAAAGTAATATTATTAAATATATTTAATAAGATTTATTGATATGTGAAATTTTGTTCAAAAATATATCATAATTTGATATGAAGAGAGTAGTATTTTGTGTTTTAATGTAACATTATGTTCCCAAATGTAACTAAACTTGCCTTTCATTCTCATTGTTAGATCTGATTTTTCAGCCAGCTGTGCTTTCATCCGGTTAGTATATACTATCTTCCCTCTTGATATTGTCATTTTTTTCGTTCACATCTCTTTCTCTTGTTGCATGTTTTATTAAACATTCTACTTAAAAGCAACGTTTCCATAACTGAATTGCTCATTAAATCAAATAGGACACCGGTGAAAGCGTTAATAGTTCAACTGTAATGAAACCATGGTTCAACCAATTATGACAAATTTAATGTTTTTAAATAATAAGAATAATAAATACTCCTTTCATTAAAAAATATAAGGCATTTTTAATCGAATTTCACTCTAATAAAATACTCATCTACTTTCAAACTAATTCTATCTTTTTATATTTATCTCTATTAAACACTTTATAATAAATATAAAGTTAATACATATGGTATGAGTTCATGTTTAAAAGTCTTGTTATCTTCAAATAGGTCATTTTTTCAAATTGAATTTTCATTCCTTGGAAGCTTATTTTTTTATTTATTTTCTTTTAAAATTTAATTTTCACATTATAATATTACATATTATTTTTAAAAGTATAAAATATAATTTTTAAAAATTAAAAGTAAGTAATATAAATTTTAATGTTACCATATAAACAGATATTTTAAAGTTTAAATTTAATTTTAAAATTAAAAACATATTATTATTTAAAAATTAATTAAATATAAATAGTTAAGTGTATTTAATAAAATTTATTAATATATAAAATTTTATTTAAAAATATTTTATAATTTAAGATGAAGAATGTAACATTATGTTCTCAGGTATAACCAAACTTGCCTTTTATTGTCATCGTCAGGTCTACTTTTTCAGTTGCCTGTGCTTTCATACGGTTAGCGTGTATTATCTTGTCTCTTAATATTATCATCTTTTGGTTTGCCCCTTCAAACACACAGTTATACTCCCTTTATTAAAAAATTTATAAAGCATTTTTAATTTAATATCATTCCCTAACAAAATGTTTTATTATAAAATAAATATAAAATAATTTATTTATTAGAGATGCTTTTGAAAAAAATATATTAATCACACCTTGAAAATGCTTTATATTTTTTAATATTCAACCCTTAAAAAAAGCCATATATTTTTTAATGGAGAGAGCATAAGTTTTTAACTATTACAATTGAAATTTTAATATATTATTTTTTTAAATGAAGTAACAAATGAAATAGGGATATATTTGAAAAAAAATTATAAAAATTATCTAATACCCCATGTAGTCATGTAGACCAAGTAGAGCTTCTAAAACATATCATATATTGTGGTTCATAGGGAGTACTTAATTTATTAGATTGTTTATATAATTACTAAAATACTAAAAAATTCTAACTAATTTGATAATTTATATGTAGGTTGATTCCTTGACAAGAAACATTTAAAGATATAATTATAATGCTAGTTGTTGTTATTCAAATGAACTCTTTAAATTCATCTCCTTTCAATAAGAACTCTACAAGTGTGTGGATTTTTATCATAAGCATATGTGTCTATGGTTTTACATCAGATATTATCTCAGGATTATGTCCTTGTACAATGTTGATATCATTAACGATTCAAAGTCATCTTAAATTGTACCTCTTTATAGCTTACTCAACAATATTGTTCATATTTTTTGCCTGCAACGAAATTTGGGATATACGTATGGATGTAGTTTCATATTTGAAGAACAAGAGGAATTTAATTATTATTGAAGGCAACAATGACTCTTCAAATAACAACAATGTCTAGACTCACCTCTCAAATAATTTTCATTGCCAATATTGTACGTTTTGAATTAGACTTCAATTTGTACTTAGGGCATCTAATGTTTCTTATAATGCTTCAATTAATTTTTTTAAACGAATAGAAATTGGTGTGGAGCCAGCTCTACAGCCTCTATCATTGCAAATACAATGACTAGTCTTAATCCTTCAATTTACTAGTTTTTTTTTTTTGTTTCTTTTTATATATTATTAGATCTTGTATAAAATAAAAAATATGTTGATATCTTATGGTGATGAAATAGTGCACTTTTTTTTTAAATTTTATGATTTTTAAAAGAAAATTTGCTAAAATTGTGCATTTTTTATTAGATAAAAGAACAAATTGGCCCCCAAACTTATTTTTTACGCAATGAACATCTTTAATTTTTTTAAAATGATATAATTTAGTCCTTATCATTAAAAAAATTAACTTTGATTATTAATTAACTAGAAAATGATAGAAAAAGATCTCACAAATTACAAAACAAACTAATAAAATTTTCTTGGTCCTTTACTATAATTTTTGGATCATTTATTGTAATTTTTGATTTATTTATATAATTTTTGAGGTTTTTTTTAAGTCAACTAACAATTAAAGTCAACTTTCATTAACTGTAAGGGTCATATTACACTATTTTTAAAAGTTGAAAAGTTGAAGGAAAACATAACATAAAAAAATGAATTTAGAGTTTCCAAGGTTGATAAAGCTGTTGTTAGGGTGAATCTCCTCTTTTTTCTTTATTTTATTTTATTTAATGAAAGTGTAAAAGAATCCAAAACTACACCATTTTATTACCATAAGAAAACAACAAAAGAGGATTGCATACCAAAGTCACGTTTAATTTCAACTCTCAAAAACTTTTTTTTTATTTCTAAAAATAAAGTTTCAAAAAAATTTAATCGAATAAGTGTTTTAGATTTAAATGTTTTTAAGGAAAAAAAAATTAAGGTTGCTTTCATTTTCTTTTTATATTTTTAACACTATATTTAACTATTTTAAAATTTTTTAACTATGATTAACCACTATCATACATTATTACCATTAATCACTAGTGATCGACCACCACTATCAATCATTTTTTTTAACATATAGTTAAATATATTTTCATTTTATTTTCTTTTAAAAAAATTTCTAAAAACTAGTTTACAAAATAATTTTTTGAAAAGACTAAACAAGCCCTAATTCATTGTGGCTCCATAACATTTAAAATTATAGGTGCACAGCTTGAAAACAAAATTATGACACCAAAAATGATGTGCTTAAGTTGTTGCATGTGATTTTATAGCTTGAATTTGTTGGAATTGAAATGATGATGATTGATTTGTAAGGATTTTTTTTTTTTTTATAGATATTTGGAAGGAGTTGACGCAACTATTGAATTATGGTATTTGATCTAGCTTGTTGTGATGGGCCATTTTGTGTTGTCATCATTTGTTTGGGCTTTTGGTGCCTTGGCCTGCTGGTTTTTCCGTTGTATCTTAATTATGATTGACTTATAACCTGTACAGGTTTATGATTGGTTTTGAAAACAGGTTTTAACATGGGTTTTTGGTATTTGCGGGAAGCTTTTGTATGATTTGTTCTACCTACTATGATAGAAACCCTTTTTATACTATGACAGGGGCTTTTTATCATAGTTTTATAGTTATTAGTAATTCTCTTTTCAATCATAATAGATTTTAAAAGGTTATTTTCAATCTTTTTCTATTATGGTTATACTCAAATTTATAAGTACGAATCTTTTATAATTATGGTAGACTTTTGATTGAGAGTTTGTTTTTTACCTATCATGATTGGCTATTAACTATGGGTTTCAGATTCAAAAGTTGATTTTTGTTGGGCTTATTTAGCAAGTGTTTTCGGACTTCAATTGTCCTCCGCCCAAATGTTTGATTTGTTGGACAAGTTTCATAAAAACTAGTTTGAAAGAAAATTGTGTTAAAGTAAGGGTTATTGCAATCGGCCACAACCATCAACCGTTTTTTAAGTTTTAACAGTCAAATAGATTTTTATTTTATTTTATTTTTAAAAAATTTAAAAATCAAATAAGAAATAGTTATGGCCGATTGCAATACAGATGAATTCTGCATAATATATAATCCCTCATAAGCTTTGATATGGAAATGGTCATGGATAGCTTCACCCCCATTGCCACTCTGAAAAACTGGATCATATATGTCCTCCTTCTCCTTCAGCATGTTGGAGAAGCGATCGATCATTTGATCATCAAAAACCCTTAACAGCATCCTCGCACCCTACAAAGTATTAAGGAGATAAGTAGAAATGAGATTCAAAAAAACAGTTTGATAACCATGTCAACTGAAAACATCTTCTTGGGGTATCCACAGTCACATTCGTACACATCAAAGTCAGTCCTAGGAAATACCTTGTCTGCCTTGACCAAAACCTTCCAGGTCTCCAGCGGAGGTGCAAGATCATCAAGTCTGGAGAGATGATGATCCATCGTTCAAATGGAGAAGAAAGCTCCCATTAATATGAGAAGAGGAAGACTAAAGAGAAACAGAAACACTTTCAATGGAATGGAAGATGAGATACTGCAAAATGGGTGGAACCAAAAGGGTATATTTAAAGCACTTTCACTACATATTAAACGGCAAACCATAAATTATAAAACAATAAATGCTCAAATGCTCATCCTTGCAGCCTATAATGTGAAGCGAAGGCAATGAAGAGGCTGACACTTTATTTATGATCTATCTCAACAACTTCTTCAGAAGGTAAGATGTTATGCTTCACCTATGGAAATACAGAAGTAACTAAAATGATACATGAAAGGAATAAAAGAGATATTAACCTCAACTTGTCCTCCTCAGTAGGATACTAGCAATTGTCTACTCTTAAAAAATCAAAGACGTACTTGCAATATATTATGTGGAGGTCTATCCGCTGAACCCCACATCCAAACACAAATCAAAAATAAAAAGCAAGACAACCAAAAAGGGCCAAAATAAAAAAGTGAAACCCTCCCCCCTCTTGCCTCTGCGTTGTGCTTTGGGGACTGCAAGCACAAGCTTGCTCTCATCTCTCAGAGTTGAAAAAAAAAATTTGCTGAAAGAAGAATGAAGATGTCACGTCTGGAACACTGGTATTAACAGAAGATGTCCTTCTCCACCATCTCTCAAGCAATATTCTGCACAAAGACGTCATGTATTTAACAGAGAAATTCAGAGTTTTATGTGTAAAACAAATTCTGGGAATCAAAGTGGATAGAGAGATTCAGGTATTTGGTTGAATACATACCCCCAAAGACGTTTTAGGGTTTCATCAAGCTTTTTGGAAATCGTTTGAGTTGCAAATACATATACCCACAAGATGCTAGCAAGAAGCTTGGAGAAACACTGGATTGGAGAATCATAAGCGAGAATGGCCAACACGAAGCTCTGGGTGATGCCGAGATCGAGAATCTGAGCGTGATAAAGCTTGGAGAACGGCGAGATCAAGAATGCACACCGAACATTGGTGAACGGCGAGATACAGATGGACAACCCACGCCCGAGAAGCTTGATGCAGCCTGATAGAGAACGCCGACAATGAAGACGAGACCAAGAGACAGAGGGATGAAGAATGGGGAGGCCAGCTTTTTATGTAAAGAGCGTTCAAACTACAATTCTTAATTTTTTTAAAAAAAATTGACAAGTCAGATGGGCAAAACAATTTTTTTTTTTTTTTGCCATGGAAAAGACAACGTAAAAAAAAAAAAAATTGTACGAAGCCAAGATTTCAAGCCTCTATGGATAGAGTCCGAAAATGAAGCCATTTAGCTCCGTAAGCCGGGTGACTTAGATGGCTCTATAAAAAGTAATCTGAATTTAGCCATATGAGGGGCATTGGCTTGGTGGAACTCTTTTAGGATACAGTGATGATTCTCCAATCACTGTCACAAGCTAATAATCTCTTCAACTCCTTAGATGACATCTACAATCAACTAACCACCAAGGGAAATGGGAACTGCAAGAAGAGTTTGAATTTCACAGCAAAAACATCTTTTACTTTACGTCAAACTTTCACCTCCTTGTGTGGCTAGGATTCATATTTGCTTTTCATTTTTTGGAAACATCTTTTTTTTGCTTATGATATGTTTGAATTTTGTGTCATTCATTTATTGCCAAAGTTTTATTTAATCTAAAAAATAAAAGTTCAAAATTAATTCCCTATGTTTGCTTTTGTAATTTTGTCCAAATTTAAAATTTGTAAATTGATTCGCATAAAATCAAAGATATATATAGATATATCATATACGCCACACCACTTGTTCCATCTCACAAAAAGGAGTTTAAACAGTGGCTAATGTTGCTTCATCGGTATGCTCGTAACTGCTGGAAACCAAAACTCTTTTGATAACCAAGTATTTCAATATCTATTAGGTACATGTGCAAAATTTTACTCCTTAAATATAGGGCACTGATTTCTTATTAAACATATAATCCTCTAAAACTTCCTTTACGATAATAACAAAAAAAAAAAGAATTCATTATTGCAGGATTGTACCAAATATCAAGATAATTCCAAATATTCATAATATAAAAGATCTAGCAACATGAAGAATTTATATATAGAGAGCAGCTGAAATTTTATGAAGAAAAATTTGTAAATAACATGAGTCTTTAAACTTGATAAGTCGTTAACGAAAAAACAAAACAAAGCAATGGTGAATTCAAGAGCACATGATGCACAAGTTTTATAAAATCAATCACAAAATAATTATAGAAAATACAATAATGAATATAAAATTACTAAGAAGATAAAAAATCTTTGAAAGTATACATTTATTTTTCAAGGATGCTATTATGAGAATGTTGGAATATTTATTGGATTAACATTAATTAATAAGTCCAAGCAGATTGGTCCTTACGATCTTGTGCGTGATAAGTGAATCATACAAGTGAGCCCAATGGACAGAGGCCCAACCTACAACCCAGTAGCCATCGGTTATTTTCTATCTCTTAACTAACTTAGTCAAAGATAATAAAAAATAATTATTTAATTATCTAATAAGGTAATGTGGTTATTGATCTGATCCTTATAAGTTGATCAGTCGTTAACCACTAAACACACGATTCATTTTCTTCTGCTCCATTATCTCTGCACTCTCTGAAGACTCTGGGGACTAGTGAGCTATGCGTCTGTCTATACTTGAGGTAATCGAGCTTTCTCAAGCGATCAATAGATTCTTCAGGTGTGCACATGTTTCTTTATTCTATCTTATTAAATCATATAAGAATTAAAATATAAGAACTATCATGTGGTATCAGATGCATCTATGGGTTAACACAAGCCTCTAGGCAGCGGCATCTGAAGTTTGATGAAGTTATCACCTCGCTTGGTTTTGATGAGAATGTCTCAGATCAATGTATCTATCAGAAGTTTGATGGGAACAATTTTGCCATTCTTGTTCTTTATGTTGATGATATCCTATTAGCCAGCGATTCAATGAATTTCCTTAATAGGATAAAAGACCTATTGTCTAGCCATTTTGACATGAAGGACATGGGTGAAGCCTCCTTCGTTCTTGGGATACAGATTCATCATGATAGATCTCGTGGTATTTTTGGTTTATCACAAACCACCTATATTAAGCGGTTACTTAAAAAATTCAGAATAGATTCATGTTCTCCCTTACTTGCTCCTATACAGAAAGTTGAACTATTGTCAGATTTATAGTGTCCCAAGGATGATAATAAAAGGGTTGAAATGAGAAAGATACCATACGCTTTCATTGTTGCAGCTTTATGTATGTTCAAGTATGTACTCGGCCAGATATAGCCTTTGCCATTGGAGTGCTAGGTCGATACTTAAATGATCGAGGTCCGGATCATTGAAAAGCTGTTAATAAAGTTATGAGGTATCTTCAAGGTACGAAAAATTATATGTTGACCTATAGAGAGTCAAATTCTCTTGAGGTTGTTGGATATTTTGATTATGACTTTAAGGGATCAGAAAATCTTGAAATCGTTGGCTCTTCAGTTTCTGCTTTTACACAACTATCCTTTGTGAAGGCTCTCAATGAGACTAACTATGATGATTGGAAAGAGTCCCTGAATATGTATTTGACCATTTCTAAGAAAGATTTAGCTTTGAGAGAACCCAAGCCTGCGGATCTCTCTTCCGAGTCTAGTGCTTCTGAAATGGCCTTCCATAAATAATGAAGTAAGTTCAACTGGATCTGTCTAGTGATCATCAAGTACAAAATTGAAAAGGAAATTAGGGACAGTATTCTTGCAAAGGATACTGTAGTGGAATACTTGAAAGCTATTAGTAACAAATACAAGAAGCTTGACAATACTCAAAAGAACTACTATTTGTCACTTCTTGGCAATACTCAATATGACGAAGTTTCTGGTGTCAGGGAGCATATTCTGAAGCTTGTTCATTACTACAATAAACTTAAGTCATATGGGATTGATTTGGGAAAAATTACCTTAGTTTATCATGTTCTTCAATCACTGACATCGGTGTACGCATTCTTGAGGACTTTATACAACTCACAAGAAGCTAAATGGTCTGTTGATTAGATGATATCAATGGTCACTCAAGAAGAGGAAGCTATAAAGAATAATTTCTCTCACTCAATAAACTATATTTCTTATGGCTCTAACAGCAAATCTGGAAGGTCATATAAGAAAAAGGGGAAGAAGCATGAGGCCCTAAAATGGAATAATCCAACTTTTAAGAAGGATGTTGATAAGAGTGAGAAGTCGATGAAGAAACCCTTTAAGGGGTTATGCAATTATTACAAGAAACTAGGTCACATTAAAGCTAATTGCTTCAAACTGAAAAACAAACAAGAAAGTGAAGGTACAATTCTTCAAACTACCCCTCTAGCTCTAGTTTGTTTTGAATCTAACACCATTGAAACTTTCTTTGACTCATGGTGGTTGGATTCTAGTGCCACTGTACATGTTGTGAATTCTCTATAGGGGTTAAGAAACCGAAGGTTTCAAGTGAGGCACAGAGGTCGGTTTTGACATAGCAGGGAGCAAAGCATCAGTTGAATGAATTGGAAGTATTCTTTGTATTTAAATTCTAGTCATATTTTAAATTTAAACAATGTTGTTTATGTACCTTCTACAAAGAGGAATTTAATTTTAGCTTCCGCATTGAATATTTGTGGCTATTCATTTTTTCAAGGAAATGGGAAAATTGATATTTGTTTTGATTCCATTTATGTTCGTTGTACTTTCTTGATATATAGTTTATATCGATTGAATGATTGGTCACTTGAACTTTCTAATCTCTATATCAATGCTGCCATCGGGCATAAACGTCAAAGACCTAATGATAATTCCTCCATGTTATGGCATCGTCATTTAGGTCATATCTCTAGAGAGAGATTGGAACGCATGGCTAAGCAAGATGTCTTACAAGACCTTGATTTTTCAATTTTTAAGACTTGTGTTGACTATATAAAGGAAAAATTCCCTACTAGAGCTAGAATTAAAGGGGCAAAGAGGTCTGAAAATACTTTAGACCTAATCCATATTGACATCTGTGGACCTATCACACTTCCGGCTATGGGTGGTTTCAGATATTTCATCACTTTCATAGATGATTACTTTTATCATAGATGAATTGAACTCTTGCGTGAAAAGGGCAAGTCTCTTAATGCATTTAAGACCTTTAAGGCAGTAGCTGAATTGAAATCTGGCAAGTTGATTAAATATGTGAGATCTGACAGAGGAGAAGAATTTTATAGGAGATATATTGAGATTGGTAGGAACCCTGAGCCATTCGCTTTGTACTTTTAAGAGCCTGGCATTAAAGCTCAGTATACAATGCCTGGCACCTTGCAGTAGAATGGGGGTCACAAAAAGGCAAAATCATACTTTCATGGATATGGTAAGAAGCATGATCAGTCACTCCTCACTGCCAGAATTCTTGTGGGGTGATGCACTTAAAATTGCTGTTTATATTTTGAATCAAGTTCCTAGCAAGTCAGTTCCAAAGACTCCATATGAGTTGTATTTTGGAAGGACTCCTGCCTGAAGCATATGCAAGTTTAGAGTTGTAAAGCACAGGTAAAACCTTACAATCTATAACAGATGAAGCTTGATACTAAAAGTTTTTATGATTTCTTTATCGGCTATTGCATCGGATCTCATGGGTACAGATTCTATTGTCCAAATCACACTACTAGGGTTATTGAATTTGATCGAGCTTATTTCTTTAAAGATGCCTTAGATAATGGGAGCTTTGTGCCTAGGTATATCACTTTACATGATGAAAGCAATATTTTACCTATGCCTATCATGATAACCCCTCATGTTGACATAAATAATGCCGTGGCTCAGGATGAAGCTAAAGATGAACCACCTTTAGAGGGTGATGAGGATCTGGTTGTTGAACCAAGACAGTCCCAAAGGGTTCACAGGTCTGCTATTCCAGTTGATTACATGATATATTTGCAGGAATTTGATTCATATACTATTAATAGTTTAGACCTTATATTTTACCAAGAGGCTATTTTTAGCTCACATTCTTCTGAATGGTTGGAGCCTATGAGTGAAGAAATTGCCTTTATGTACCACAATCACGTTTGGAAGCTTGTAGAGCTACCAAAGGGTTTTAAACCAATGGGTTGCAAGTGGGTCTTTAAAACAAAATGAGGAGCTAGAGGTAAAATTGATAAATACAAAGCCAAACTTGTAGCTAAGGGTTACAACCAGAAAGAAGGTATTAATTATATAGAGACCTTCTCTCCGGTATCCACTAAAGA